TTGTCCACTAAAACTACCAAAATTCCTCGCAGTTTGCGAATATCTTAGGTATTTATGTACGCTCGCACTGGTACGTCCGTATGCTACCGAGGTTAAAGCGCGAATTCTTTAACTGCAATAAACCTTTATTTTATCAATTGTTCTTTTCGTATGCATTTTTTGTCAATGGAAGAAACAGGAGACTAAGTTCCTTTCAAAGCAAAACAGGGCTTCTGAAGTTCTCGCGTCGCATTCATCGATTGATTACTTGTTCAAAAGTTCTCGAAATGTTCTATATAAACGTCCGACAAGAAACTTCGAAACAAAAGTGGGTGTAAAGAGATTGACGCAAAAATTTGAAGTTGTATCGTTTTTCGTTTATTTAAATTTTAGTTGAGTATTTTCATACTCTTTACGAAGTTAAATTTTGATACATTTTGTGTTGCTATTATCGTTTCGGCTCTTGATAAACACATGAATGAATGTGGTATTTTTGGAAAATGCACGAACTTTCAATGCAACTCTTACAAATAAATGGCGATTAAAAAAATTGCAAAACTACAAAACATGATAAGAAACATGTTTTATTACGAAGTTAAGAATACAGTGGACAATAATAATAACAATACGATATTTTGATGCGTAAATGAAGCGATTTAAATAACTTTCACGCACATTCGTATATACATATACAGGGTGGTTTGTTAGTGCGATAGAGTCCATTATTTCCGATGGTGTTGAAAAATAGTTTCATGTAAAAGTTGTTGACGCACAAAGTGCGCACATTTAAAAAATATCTTATATTATACAGAGTGTCTCAGAAAAGCGAGGCAAGATCAAAGTGTATTTTTTTAAATAGATCTACCCATTTTTCATTAGCTCATGGAATGCAGCTTGAAACGCTGCATATGCACTGTAAATTGTTTTTTTCTTACTGGCGACGTTGGCAGATTATCGCCATTTTAGTAAAAATTTTCTTAAAAACGTGGTATCTAAAAATTCATTGTAGAAGCTAAAAAAAGCAGTTAATGATACAAAAAATACGTCTTTTCAATCACCACAGATCCGTTAAGATTTCTATTGAACCAAAATATCAATATATTGTACAGGGTGTTAACAATGCGGACTTCAATCTAGAACTTTTTAACGCAATTCAAATGGAAGTACCTGTATATTAATACGTCATTTGATAGACAATTTACAGTTACAAATTTTCCTTTACACTTTAAGCTGTGAAATCAACCGTTTTCAAATTGCAATTTAATTTATTTAAAATTTTCAAAAATTTGCTCCATTTTGTAAGGGGGCTATGCAAGTCAACAAATAAGTGCCACTTTTTCGAAAATGTTACCGCACTTATTTTTGCATTCCAGATGAACTGCTGATCTATTTTAGTACGTCTAATTAAAAACAGGAAGTTCCAAAAAAGCGCTCTATCGAAAATGTTTTACTGAAGGATCATTGATTTTTTATGGGTTTTTAGATAAGTGTTAAATTTAATAATCTGGTAAAGAATCTATTAGAAATAAACGAAAATTTTATCTATACTTTAGCACATTAAATTTGCCTGAACGCAATACTTTCGCCTAAACAATATGTCAGTGAATTTTGGCACTTTAGTTCAAGGCTACCCTGTAGAAGACAAGTGCAGCTAAAAAACCCAGAAATTTCACTCAAGTAGTATAAAAATCCGATTATTCAGAAAAAGGAAGGGGGGTCAAGTGGCACATCATTTTAAAGGGCGTTCAATTCTCTGTATATTAGTTACTACTTTGTTGCTTTTTGTCCAGAGGTTTTCGAATAATCGCGTTTCAAAGTTGTAGAGACAATTAAACTTGCGTGCATTCAGATATTGGTTTTCCGGTTAGTGTTTACACAAAAACAACTGTATTTGGTCTCCTTGGAATATAAAGGATTATATAAGTAGGTTACACTGTTAAAATCGTTGAATACGGGAAGATATCGTCCGTTGAAGATAGCGAATGCTTCAAAACCGCTCAAAATAGACAGAAAATGTTGATTATTTGGGATCTGGAAAGGCCCCGTTGTCTTTTAATTAGCTTGTTGCATTCCTTGTCGGCTTCCGATGAAAATGATGTGGAATTTGAGGTATTTCGAGAGAATTGATTTTTTTCAAAAATCGATCTCTTTGTCCCCGCTTATGAAATTGCGACCAAAAATCTAAATTTTACAACCGTTTTCTTCAAGCTCTCATTGGATGGTTTCCAACCTAAGAAGCTGCCCAATACCGAATATGAATATTTTTGGGTCCGTAATAAGGAAGATATCGTCCTGCACAGGACAATAACGGAAGTTAAAATTAACATTAAAATATTTAAAAAATCCTCAACGGTCCAGAAAGTTAAAAAATTTAAAACGTTGGACCGGTCGAAATGAGTAGTACAAAGTGAGAGTCCAACACACCCATTTTGACCCAACTGAACTCTCTTAAATTAAAAATTCCGAACTTCCAATTCAGTGCAGGTATACCAAGAGACGAAAGTAAGTTCCGCCACTGCATGAAACCATTCATGCAGT